GGGGGGGGGGTGTTGCACCATCTTCCCGACTGTTCCACTTTTTCTTTTTTGATGATCTAACGAGTTGGAGTGGTGCGTATACCAAAAGAGATTTCGATGTGAAGTGAACATGTTTTTTGTTTTGGCCCATGCAAGTCTGTGTTGTGACTATGCTCAACCAGTTGAAGACTGATCGCCTTACTTAATCTTTTGATCTTATTTGCTCACTGGCCTTAATTTGTTCTTCACCTTTTGTTTCTAGGATGATTCGATTTCCATTTCTTTTCCTACTGATNTTCCTACTGAGCTGGTTGTTTAGGCAAGAATCTACTTAATGTGTAGGGTGCTTCAGCTTAGGAAGGCAGCTCAAGAAAAAGCTTATGCTGTACGTGCTGCTGCTATATCACAGTTCAAGTCCATGCTTCGGGAACGAGAAGATATTACCTTAAATACACGGTGGTCAAAGGTTGGTTTATATGTTGAGATATGATGCCAAAAAAATATCAATGTAACTAGTTGCCTTTTAGATCTTTTTACTTGCTTGCAAATTGAATGCTTAGTCTGGATTGGCATCTCTATTTAAGATTAAACTTGTAGTATTTATTGTTCAAGTCTAAATAGACTAATATATGAGGCCTACAGCTTTTTAATTTCTCAGTTCTGTTACACTTGATCTTCAATTTAATCTGCTTAACAGACCTCCCTTCATGTTTACTAATACAGTTGGTCATTTCACAAAACTCATGTCATGTTGAACTATGATTGGTTCAAAGTCTACGACGTCATCAAATTTATCACTAATTCCTAAACTTTCTGGAAAAAGAAGTCCGTTATTTCAAATTAAATGTCATGGTTTTATGTTGGGCAATGCCGAAATAATATCTGTCTTTCCTAAACCAGAATGTCTCACCATTTGTTTTATACAATAATCACAAATTTAAGGGTCACACTTCTCACTCCCCCAGTTAATTTCCCTTATTTGGATGTAGCAATTTAATATACCATCCTAGATCAATATTTTTATCTTAGAGGTGAACAGAGGTCAAGCAGGCATCAACCTGAAAGAAAGGGAGTAATGAAATATTAGAAATTAAAAAATCTTGCTATAAGAAAATACACTGGGTTTGTTGTTGTTGCTATATGGAACGAAAATAAAATTCAAATGTCGACATTGCTCCCATTTGAATTAGATGATGAATATCATGTCTGCGAATCAACAAGATAGAAAGATGATTTGTATTTTGGACATTGTTTTATTTTCTCATTCAGCCGCATAATGTCTCTCCTTGAAACCAATGGAAGTTGTCATGCTTACTGCTAAACTTTCCAAAATTCATTTGGTGATATCGTTCTTGAAGTTTCCCATTTCTTAAAATGCTCATTTTGGAGGACATAAATATTTTCCCTTGTGGTTTACTTTAAGCTTTCCTTTTCCCCCTTTACTTGGATAAATGCAATTAACTATATTTTCTCCCTCCCTAAGTTGCAACTTTCTGCTTATTTTAGGTAAAGGATAGCTTAAGAGATGATCCCCGTTATAAGTCTGTTAAGCATGAGGACAGAGAGGCTTTATTCAATGATTATCTATCGGAACTCAAGTCTGCTGAACAGGAAGTTGCACGAATTGCAAAAGCAAAACATGATGAAGAGGTGAGAATACTCTTATTTCCATCTTTGGGGCCTTACTTTTCTTTGTTTTAAGATTTCTTGTTACTTGCCTTTTTTGTTTGTATGAATATTGATTAGATACTCCAAAGGTATCATAATGATATCTTTTTTT